AGCAGCATTGGAGCCTGCCCTGGAACGCACTCTGGTTCTTGGAGAAGGAGGGCCAGCCAGGCAGGACGAGTTCATGCCAAGTGACAGTGGCCATGACATGGCCCATGTGGGTTCCTCCGCTGAGGCAGGAGGGCCCCATGAGGAAGGACCTGGGTGCCAAGTCTGAGGCTCTATTTTGCTGCTTGCTTGCTAGGTGACCTTGGGCAAGTCACCCACACTTTTGCCTGTGACCCAGATACGATGGTGATGATGATGATAACGGTCACTGTCACACCATGAGCATCACCTTTTTCATCCTTATCACAAGTGCTTCTTATGCATCTACTCAGTCATTCATGAGATAAACTCACTCAATCCTCACAATCTCCCGTTATAGGTGGTATCATCATCCCCATTTTGCAGATTAAGAGATGAGGGCATGGAGAGGCGGAGGTATTTGCCCAGGGCCACACAACTGGCAAGCAGCAGAGGTGGGATCCAAACACTGGAAAAAGCTTGGTAAGGAAGGGGCCATTCTGTCTCTCTCTGGGACGTTGGGAGGATGAAACTAACAAATGCCCATGAACCCTTCAAAGGGGGCTGGCACAGGGCAGGCACTGGACAAGCAGGAGCTTTGATTCTGACCCAAGACTGCAGGACAGAAAGACAGGTCAGAAGCCAGACGCTAATCCAGGGCGCCTGTCCACACCCACCCTGTGATTGGGAAGGCAGAGACTGCTCAGCAGACCTGGTTACAGCAATTACAAGTGAAGCCTTTGTAAACTGTGAAGTGGTGGCGAAACCAAAGGCCTGACCCTCCCCATCTGCCCTGCACACAGCGGGTCCTCTGCACCCCAGGAATTGGACAGAGGGGACAGAATATGGAGGGAGGTCTTCCCCATCCACTCCTTACCTGGCTGGAGAAGGGCAGGCCCAGCCTCTGAAGAGCGGGCACTGTGTGGCTGGCATTGGCCACCATCTGCAGCGGGCCATGCAGTGGCCAAGCCACCAGGGCTGCCAGGTCCACGCTGACACCACCATCCCTGCCACGGAGGGCCACGTTGGCCTGGGTCTGGGACTCGAGACAGAAAATGGCACAGGCTACTGAAGACAGGTTCACCTTCCTTCCCAGCCCAAGAACACACCAGACTTTAGGAGGGGCCATGCCCTGTGGCCCTAAAACACAACACCAGCGGGAAAGGTGGGGTCAACCCCTTTTGAGCCTCCTTGACATCATCTGTCATCATTTGTCCCTGAGGATCTAGGCCTGGGTGGCTCCTCCTTTCATTGAAGTTGAAGTTGTTGAAATGATACCTCCTCCAAGAAGCCTCCCCTGACTACCCCTCTGAAGTGCCTCCCAATTCTTTGCTGCCAGGCATCCTCCATCCATCTCCCTGGAGTGGGGTTCCCAGCACAACCCAAAATGACCTCACTCATTTACTTACTAGGTTCCTGCTCCCCTACTGCCACTCCATGAGAATGCCAGCCCCCCGGGGGTGGGGTTTCTCTTAGGACAGCCCCTGACACACAACAGGGGGTCAGTGAGTATTTTCCGAATGACTGAGGGAGGCTGCTTCTCTGTAGGAATTCTTGGGGATTCTCTGAGCAGCCTACAGATGAATCAGCATGAGGTCTGCTCTTGATAAATGGCCGCTGTGGCCCAATACCCACCTGCAGCCACCTGGCCCTGGCTGGAGGGTCCCATGCCTCCCATCACCCCCCACAGAAGAGGAGAGTCTGGCTCACAATAGGAGTTTCTTCTTGGACTTAAATTCCCACTGCTACACATAGAAACCCAGCGGGTCCAGGAGCCCCCCAAGCAAACAGATGGCACCTACTCTATGTCAGATGCCAGATTCCCGTGGGGTGCAGCTCATGGCTCAGGCCCAAGTGACACTCAGCCAGGCTCCAGCACCTCCCATCTGGCCAGCAGAGTGGATAAGCCCCATAGCTCTGAGCCTCAACTTCCTTATCAATAAGGTGGGCACAGCCTGCCCACCTCAAGGGACAGTATCCAGAGTAAATGGGGTAACACATGGGAGAGGACTACCTGTGAGGCATGCAGGAGGCCTGGGAAACTCTTCCTTCCTTCCTTCCTTCCTCATTCCACACTGAACCATGTGTACCTACTACGTGCAGGCCAAGAGGAGGGAGGGGACACAATTCCCACTCCCAGGAGTGCCTGGCTGTCAGAGATACCAAGAATATTAACAGGCAGAAAGTGTCCCCAAGAGGGGGTACATCAGACTGTGGACAGCCATGGGAGGAGGGAGAGGTCACTCCTGGCTGGGGGCGGCCACACCAGGCATCCTGGGCCAGGAATTGGAGCGGCGTGAAAGTGTTCATCCAGAATGACCTCCCGTCACTCCATCACTTCTCCCCAACAAATTCTGAGGTCAGCTCAGACTAGCGACAATTTCCTCATGTGACCCAGTCCTCCGTTCACCCCTCAGGAGGCTGAGGGCCAAAAATAAAGTTTTCGTTGGTTTTGTTTGTTTATTTTTTTTGAGATGGAGTCTCACTCTGTCACCCAGGCTGGAGTGCAGTGGTGTGATCTCGGCTTGCTACAGCCTCCACCTCCCAGGTTCAAGTGGTTCTCATGTCTCAACCTCCTGAGTAGCTAGGACTACAGGCATGCACCACCATGCCCAGCTAATTTTTTTTGTAGAGACAGAGTTTGACCATGTTGGCCAGTCTAGTCTCGAACTCCTGACCTCAAATGATCCACACGCCTCAGCCTCCCATAGTGCCAGAATTACAGCCATGAGCCATTGCACCAATCCCCCAAAATAAAAAAAGTTTGAGGCCAACAGAAGATGCACTAGGGGACTAGGGAGACCCAGGGGTCCTGAATGGTCAAGAGCCAGGTCTCTCTAATCTATATGGGGGTCAGAGAGTAGCTCTGGGTTCAATCCTTGCTCCATCATTACCAGCTGTGTGGCCTGGGCCAGGTGACTTAACCTCTCTGAGCCTCCATTCCTCATCTGCAAAATGGGAATGGCATTCCTAAACCTACCTCATATGCTCATTCACACACGTTCGACACCTACTATGTGCCCTGCGGCAAAGCAGACAAAAATCATCCCTGCCCCTCATGGAGCACACATTCTGGTGATTCTAGTGTAGAGAAAACAAGAAACCAAGGTATTTGCATGCTACATGGTGTGTTCAAATGACAGAACTGGGGAGAGGGTGGGAGGAGATGGGGAGGTGGAAAAAAGGCCTCCCTGAGAAGCCATTGGAAAAACACCTAAGGGAGGCGAGGGAGCCAGGCAGGTGTGTGGGAGAGAGGCATTCCAGGTGGCAGGATCGGCCTGTGCCAAGGTCCTGGGGCAGCAGCAAACCTCGTGTGTTAAAGAATAGAAAGGAGTGGAACAGGTGGGGTTGGAGGCCGGGAGACGAGGTCAGCTGGGGGAAGAGTGCGGGTTCTGCAGGCTCGCAGACCCCTCTAAGAGCTGTGGCATTCCCCTGTGTGATCGGGACAGCTGTACTGCACTGAGCTCTCGTGTGTGCACAGCTTGCCTGGCGTGTAGGTAGTGAGTGCCCAGCCAATGCTGGCTCCTTTTATTGCTTTTATTTTCCCCCCATAATGGGCTGAACCATGGACCCCAAAAAGAGATAATGAAGTCCCACTTCCCTCACCCTCGGTCCTATTAATATGACCTTATTTAGAAATAAGGTCTTGGCTTGGCGCGGTGGCTCACAACTCTCACCCCAGTGCTTTGGAAGGCCGAGGTAGGTGGATCACAAGGTCAGGAGTTTGAGGCCAGCCTGGCCAACATGGCGAAACCCTGTCTCTACTAAAAATACAAAAATTAGCCAGGCATGGTGGTGCACGCCTGTAGTCCCAGCTACTCAGGAGGCCGAGTCAGGAGAATCATTTGAGCCTGCGAGGCAGAGGTTGCAGTGAGCCAAGATCACACCACCGCACTCCAGCCTGGGTGACAGAATGAGATTCTGTCTTAAATAAATAAATAAATATGTAAGTAAGTAAGTAAGTAAATCGTCTTTACAGATGGAATAAGTAAAAATAACTTCACATTCAAGACATACGGGTGTTCAATCCACTGTGGATTGTTCTGTTTTATTTTGAGACAGGGTCTCATTCTGTCACCCAGGCTGGAGCACAGTGTTGCAATCATAGCTCACTGCAGCCTCGATCTTCTGGCTCAAGCGATTTTCCTGCCTCAGCCTCCCGAGTAGCTGGGACCACACACACGTGCCACCACATCCAGCTAAGATTCCTGTGTTTTAAGCAATTCAGTGTGTGGGACTTGGTTGCAGAAGTCCTAGGAAGCTAATCTGCCTGCCTTGGGAGTGAGGCCATTCATGGGCAAGGCTGTCCTGGTTGTCCCAGAGCCCAGGGCCACACTGGGCTTGATGGGGTGCCATCTGGGTCCAGGCCTGAGGCTGCTGGCTGGCCCAGGCATGGAAGAAGCTAGCTCCCCAGTCCCAGGGCTGTGCGCTGAGTGCCTTACCATGTATCTGCAGCTCTGTGAGCAGGGAGGCCTTGCCTGGGAATCCAGCCCACAAGAAGGCCTCATTGTTATGCCAGCTCTGGCCAGAGAGCTCCAGGTGCCCATCATGATAACAGCAGCTCAGAGCAGTTGAGAGTTGTGGGTCCCATCAGGATGCGTCCAGAATGCTCAAAGCCTGAGCTACCGTTGTGAATGTTCGTGAAGGCCTGGAATGCCACCAAGGAGATGCTGGGCTGCCCTGTGCAGAGAGCCAGCCCTGAGCAACCTGGCACTGGCTCCCACACACCCTGGGGTTATCAGTGCCATCCATGTCCCTGTGGTGGGAGGACCTCAGACCCTCTTGAAGGAGCAGGTTTGATGACTAATGCAGTTATTCCAGCTAATTACACGTGCACCAAGGAACCCACAGAGAAAATACAGAGAACCAATAAGGAGGTGGGGCAGGCAGGGGAGAGGGGGCCTGGGGAAGACGGCTAGATCAAACCTTTGGGAAGAGGAAGATGTCCTGGCTGAGGCGATACAGGTTGGCAAACTACAGCCTACACCTTTTGTTGTAAATAAAGTTTTATTGGAACATAACCCCACCTGTTTGTCACAGGTGTGTGAACCAGAGCAACTCCATCTTGAATAGGGGCTTGGTAAAATGAGGCTGAGACCTACTGGGCTGCATTCCCAAATGGTTAGGCATTCTAAGTCACAGGATGAGACAGGAGGTCACACAAGATACAGGTCATGGCCAGGCATGGTGGCTCACGCCTCTAATCCCAGCACTTTGGGAGGCTGAGGTGGATGGATCCCCTGAGGTTAGGAGTTCAAGACCAGCCTGGCCAACATGGTGAAATGCCATCTCTACTAAAAGTACATACACACAAAAATGACCTAGGCATGGTGGCACGTGCCTGTATTCCTAGCTACTCAGGAGGCTGAAGTGGGAGGACTGCTTCAACTCAGGAGGTGGAGGTTGCAGTGAGCCGACACTGTGCCACTGCACTCCAGCCTGGGGAACAGAGCAAGACCCTGTCTTCAAAAATAAAAAGTAAAACAAAGAAATTCAGGTGCAGGTGTAGAGTGCATTAGCACGAGCAGGGGTGCTGTGGTGGTGGAGAAGGCGGTCAGGAAAGGCCTCTCTGTGAAGGTGATAGACGTGAGGGCTGAGCCTGGGGACTCCTGGGGAGAGCAGCCCGGGAGGGCTCTAGGTGTTGGTGCCATTTGTGGTCCTTTTGTTTTGTTTTGCTTCATTTTGTTTTTGAGACAAAGTCTTGCTCTGTCACCCAGGCTGGAGTGAAATGGCACAATCTCGGCTCACTGTGATCTCCACCACCTGGGTTCAAGCCACCTCAGCCTCTCAAAGAGCTGGGATGACAGGCGTGAGTCACTGCACCTGGCCTCTGCATCAACAAGTTTAAACTCTCCTGACAGCTGTGCTTTAGGAAGAGTGTTCTGACGGCCATTGGAAATAAATGACAGAATGGCAGGACAAGGATCACGTCAGTGACAGGGTGGCTGTGGACATCGGCTGGCCAGCAGCAGAGAAGCCACTCAGACCCCGGATTCTACCTCTGCAGCCTGCCCGGACATGAATCCTCCTCCTCACATCAGTAGAAGCCTGGAACTCTCAGAAAAGCAGACCTCATCAGCCGCTGCCACCTTCACCAGAATGATGTGATTAATTCGTTCAAGCAGAAGACAGCAGGAACCCCGAGAGAACAGGATCCAGAATGTGTGGGTTTTGATGGACAGGGTGGTAGGATCTGGGAGGATCCACCTACCTCACCTCCTAACCCCCACACTCCTTCCCCAGTCCTCCTTGGCATAGAGACTAGAGTGACATCACCAGAGAGGTAGACGCTGGGAAGGACACAAGCGACACAGAGAAGAGGAGGCTGGAGGTCCGCAAAGCGCCCAGCTCCTGGCCTGGGATGCCCAGGACTCTGTCCAGAAAGGCTCCCTCCCAGCCATGGAACTTGATGGTCCTCAAGTTCCTGAGCATGGAGCTGGTGAGCCAGGCCCGAAAGTCCTTCTGCCTCATTTGCTCTCCTGGGATTGGAGGGAAGAGAGAGATGAAGACATGGCTGGTCCAGAATTCTCCCCTGCACCCTGACAGTCACCCTGCAGCAAATCCCACTGATCTCACCAAGTGCGTCCCAAAGCTGTCTGCCTCTCCACATCTCTGACCCTCAGTCCTGATCCATCCACCATCATTCTGTGCCTGGACTCCTGCAGGAGCTGACCCAGGACCACCGCACCGGGGAGGCAGCTTCTGATGCCCGGAGAACAGAGGCTGCCCCTGAGCCCAGCTGGCGATGGCGCCATCAGGAAGGCTACCTGGAGGTGGGTAATACCTGAGTTACATCTTTTTTTTCTTCTTTTTACATTTTTGGTGGAGTTGGGGAGGGGTCTCACTATGTTGCTGAGGCTGGCCTGAAGCTCTTGGGCTCAAGTGATCCTCTGCCCCCGGCCTCCGAAAGTGCTGGGATTACAGGCATGAGCCATCGTGCCTGGCCATGGGTTTTTTTGAACCAAAGCATATTTCTTGTCATGTTTAACAGAATTGTGCCCCAGCCCTGTACTTTCCTTGATTTATCCTCCTTTGAATAGCGAACCTCTCAAAAGCTGTAACGAACATGGAAGAGCCGCTGGCCGGGTGGGCTGGGTGGTGGCAGGGGGGCTGGGGTCCCAGCAGTTGGCATCCCCTTTCCCAGGATGTACACATGGCCTCATGTACCTGTCCTTTTATCTCCTAGGTCAGCTCGTTGACACTGTCTGGGTGAAAAAAGGAGACCAGATCTTGTTTTCATCCATGTTCGAAGCCAATATCACCATCCACAACATGGCTGTCAGTGCGTGCCCGAGCCACCGGCAGCCTAGAGATATTTAGGCCTGGTTTATTAACCATACACCTGCCAGACCCAACCCAGCCAAAACATGAAACCAACCGGGCGCCGTGACCCACAGCTGTAATCCCGGCACTTTGGGAGGCCAAGGCGGGTGGATCTCCTGAGGTCAGCAGTTTGAGACCAGCCTGGCCAACGTGGTAAAACCCCAT